TCATCTACCGTAACATTACAAAAAAAATTATATTTCAATAAATGAACTGCATATGATTTTTTATACTGAGATTACCAACAGATTTTAAAGGAGAGACGTCGGTTTTATTCATCGTGCATATTATGTTGAAAAACGGTCATCCAACTTAAGAAACGTCGAGCTTTGTCGCTATCAAGAAGGGTGACCACTTATGAATGCCAGGTGCTCTAAGTTTGAATTTGGTGTAATGAATAATGGCTGGTAATTGTCAATCGAAGAGTTGAGGTTCAATTCCAGTTGGGTCACCGTTATATTCCCTTACGCACAAATAGCCTTGGAAAAGGTAGGAAGCTAGAATACCTCATCTCAGAAAGATAGATCCTGAATAAAGCCAAAGCGTACAGCGGCCGAAATTTTCATGATTATGGCAATGATGACAACAGTCCGAACAATGTAAATACTGTAAATAGTTGTAAATAATCCCTTACGCACAAATAGCCTTGGAAAAGTTAGGAAGTAATCTTTTTCCCCACCAGTTATCGGTTAATTTCTGGCTTTAAATAACATGCAACATTAAACTTATGGCCTCCAGTTTATCATAACAAAAAATTACACGGTCAACAAATTAATGTTAAACTTAAATTCGCTTGTCCACATATATATATATATATATATATATATATATATATATATAGATAGATAGATAGATAGATAGATAGATAACTATACTCGTTTCGAAAAACCCTTGAATTTTTGATTTGCCAATAATCAAATCAATCTCGAGGGAAAAAAGGTTTTTAAAAAAGAAAGAGCTCCAAACATTAAAGTCTGTCGAAAAAAATCGCACAGAAAAAAAACCCCATACGAGTAAACAACTAACTAACAAAAGAGCTCAATACAACCGTAGAGCAGACCTTAAATGGGAAATATTAAAAAAATGCCCCAAATATAAAGCAGTCCAAAAATTTTGTAAATTATGTACAGAGGAGAAATTAGCCATAGCTTTATATAATCAACCTAACCAGCTATTAAACTCCAAAACTGAAATTCTTAACATATATAGACATAAAAAATCTTGGTTACTAAATTAGACAAATTTTCCCGTTTATTTTGAAAATTCCAAATTAATGTTCGTATTTTAATATCCCTTTTTTCTGTTGAATAAATCCTTAACCCAATAAAACTCAGCTGGTTTTGTGTTTGCGTTTGTGGTTCTTTCTTTGGTCACATGATAGAATTTTAGCTATTAAATAAATATACGTTTCCCTTTTGCCTTTTAGCCAATTTTCTGATGATCCGTTTAGGTGAAACCTAGGTAGGTTTGTCTGGCTCACTAGGTATTATATATGAAATATATATATATATATATATATATATATATATATATATATATATATTGACCAATGATATTATATATATGATATACATCAAGGAAAACTTTAACGAATCACCGAAAACGTGATTATAAATTATAATTTATTTCAACGGGCATTTTTTTAATAACCGTTTCATCAAACTGAAGTTACAAATGGTTTAAATTTACAAAATGGTTTAAATTTACAAAATGGTTTAAATTTAATGTTTAACATTATTATAATTATAATTTAATATTGGATTATAAATGTAAAAAAGTAAATAAATGTAAAAAAGAGTGGGTAAGGAAATAACGTAAAATAAAAAGAATGAAATAAAATAAAATCGAAATCCCTTTAAATTCAAATGTAAATGATCAAGAAGTCCAAAGGGGAGCAACTTTACCTATATGAGGATAGGAGAGAAGAAGAAGGAATAAGTAAAAGAGAAGAAAATAGGAAGAAGAAGAATGCATAGAATTCATGGTAGAATGTAAATTAATATAAATATAAAGTTAATATTGAATTAGTAAGAAATAAATATAAAAATAGAAATAGGAGAATTATAAAAATAAAAATATGAATATATAATTCCAGATGAATTGGTTTAGTTATTTGATACAGTTTATTCAAAAGCTATGGGTCTCGTTATATTGTAAATTAAATAAGCATATAATATTATTATAAGTATATTCTTATATAGAGGGATACTACACTGAGCACTGTTTACATGACATCAAATGTTAAATAAAGGAGGAGGAGAAAAAAGAAATGGCTTGGTGATCCTGACGTCAGGTGTGAGCGGTAGCTGCGCACAGTACAGAGTGGAGATGTTTAGTAGAGGCCAAGAGGCAACACGCCTAGATAGATAGATAGATAGATAGATAGATAGATAGATAGATAGATAGATAGATAGATAGATAATGAAATCCTGAGATAGATAGATAGATAGATAGATACGAACAGACTGAGATAGATAGATAGATAGATAGATAGATAGATAGATAGATAATGAAAAGCCTTAGATAGATAGATAGATAGATAGATAGATAGATAGATAGATAGATAGATAGATAATGCGAGAAGAAACGAACAGACTGATGGATAGAGAGATAGACAGATATGAACAAACTGAGAAAGACAAATACGAACAGACTGATATACATAAATAATATGCAGACAAACAGATAGATAGATAGATAGATAGATAGATAGATAGATAGATAGATAGATAGATAGATAATGAACAGCTGGTAAATAGATAATGAACAGCAGGTAAGTAGATAGATAATGAGCAATAGATAGATAGATAGATAGATAGATAGATAGATAGATAGATAGATAATGCGCAGAGAAACAAACAGACTGATGGATATGAACAGACTGAGATAGACAAATACGAACAGACTGATATACATAGATAAATAATATTGAGACAAACGAACAGATAGATAGATAGATAGAAACCACCATAGAGATCCTTCCCTGCCCCCCATTAAAATGTCTGATAGTCAACTTCCTGAGAGCAACTCCCTGCGTCTGCTCGGTCTCACGCTGACTGCTGACCTGAGATGGAACAAATACATTGAGTCAATTGCTTCTTCCACCGCGAGGAAAGTTGGCTCTCTGTGCCGAGCCAGGAAATTTTTCCCCCTGAATCGATACTTCAAATATACAAAACAACCATTCGCCCTTGCATGGAGTATTGCTGCCATATATGGGCTGGAGCACCTTCTGCTTACCTCGGAGTTCTTGACAAGATCCAGAGAAGGATATGTAATCTAATTGGCCCTGATCTAGCGTCTTGTTTACAGTCACTCTCTCACAGACGCGCCGTCGCCTCTCTCTGTCTTTTTCTACAAATACTTCCATGGTAACTGCTCTGATGAGCTGCTCTCTCTGGTTCCCAGACTCCATGAATTCAAGCGCCCTACGAGGCTGGCATCCCGCTCTCACCCTTACACCGTAGAAACCTTCAAATGTAGCCGTCTCTTCTACTCCAATAGCTTCATACCTCGCACCTCTCGCCAGTGGAACACCCTCCCCAATTACTGTTTCCCCGAAAGCTATAATCTCCAACTATTCAAATGTAATGTCAATCGACATCTCCAGTTACCTTGATCTACCCACTATCCTTCTCCTCTTCCTTTCTCCTATCACTCTTATCTGCTCTCGCTCCAAACCCCCCTGCATCCTAGTGGCTTCACGCCTTGCTTGGGGCACAATGCTTAAAAAAAAAAAAGAAAAAAAAGATAGATAGATAGATAGATAATGAGTAGACATTCATATATAGATAGCTATGTTAATAACTATAAATATTACTAGTTTAGGGGAATAAATTTAAAATTATAAAGTGTGGATAAACAGTAAAGTATACAATATAAAATAAAATATTAAAAATAAAAATAGGGACTCGGAAGTGTAGAAAATTTCATTTGAAGATTATAATGGTCCAAGGGGGCTAACTGAATATAAAAAAAGGAAGAGAAGAAAAAAGCAGATTAATAAAGGTAAAATAAAAGTAATATAGACACGAAGTTAAAATGGAGTTTATACAAATATAAAATTGATATAGAATTAAGAGAAAAAATGTTATAGAAATATCAATATGGGGAAGATGGGATAATAGAGAGATGCGTTATATAACTGGAGAGCGAGGTAAGTCAGTGGAGAGTAATTCTAATATCAGCCATTTGACAAAAATGAAGCACAGAGACAAAAGTTTTAACTTCGGTATTTTCGGACACGCCTGTGACCTTTATAACCGATCCGAGGAACAGAGAAATGGGTATTACTCACCTAGAGATCTTTTTGTAGATAAAGTATTTTCCAGTGGAAATCGTATTATGAGCAAAGGCAGATCTCAGTCTAATCCCTTTCATGAAAATAAACTTGAATTTCGATCGTTGGAAAAGTGCTAGGCCGATCTAGTGTTACTTGTGTGTGTCGGGGGGAGTAAGACTGTAAACATTGAAGAGATTTGTAGGTAGGGGATGAGGAAGACTTTTCGCGTGTAGCAAGTTATAGCAAAAATTGACAGATCAGGTGGTCGAGTGTAGAGAGTTAGGGAACATGGTTAAAAAGAAGTCGTGACGAAAAGGAAGAAAGAGAAAAGGAAAGAAACATGGGAAAAAGTAGATATATACTAATAAAATGAAATGAAATGAAATAGAATAAAGTAAAATACAATAAAATAAAAATATCACATAAAGAAAAGAATATTGACAAAAAACTGGAAACCTATTGTAAAAGCTAACGAATCAGTCAAGATGATATATATATAATATTTTTTGAAAGCAGATAACTTTAAGGGTCCATGGTTATAATTCATTTCCCCAGGGAATTTCTTTTTCCCTGGCTCATCAGACCACATTTCTACGGGTGAAAAATGAATTTATATTTACATCTAATTTTTTACACTTTTGAGGGGTAGTATTAAGGTGATGTAAGGTGATATAGAGATTAGTGAGAGATAGTATGACAGATATGGTCGAAATTAGAGAGGGAAGAGGGAGATAGGAATGCTTTTAAATTTATTTTTATTACAATACTTAATAGTGAAGATTACAAACAATCCAATATTGTAAGAAATAAGAGACGGACTTAGAGTTTTGAAGGAAAGAAATGGGAATATAAATTTGGAGAGTGATATTAAGAGAATTAATGTAT